GGACTTGGCAACACTCATGCATTGCTGTGTCGACTCAGCAGCATTTTCAACGCAGGTAGACTACATTCTATGTGGATGACGAGAGTGTAGCCAGACAGCATCGGACAGTGGTGTGTAGGATGACTCTGGTGGTCAGGAAGAAGAGGAGAGGAAAGATAGAAAAGACCAAGTGGTGGAAGTTGAAAAAGGAAGAATGCTGTGAGAAATTCAGACAGAAGTTGAGACAGGCTTTGGATGGTCAGGAAGAAACTGGGAAACTACAGCAGAAGTGATCAGGGAGACAGGTAGGAAGGTGCTAGGTGTGTCATCTGGAAGGAGGAAAAAAGATAAGGAAACATGGTGGTAGAACGAGGAAGTACAGGACAGCATTCAGAGGAAGAGGCTAGCTAGAAAGAAGTGGGACGTAGAAAGGACTGAAGAAAGTAGACAGTATTACAAGAAATGAAGAGTGAAGAGGGAGGTGGCAAAGGCCAGACAGAAAGCATATGATGAGTTGTATACCAGGTTAGACACGAGGGAAGGTGAGAAGGACTTGTACAGATTAACAAGACAGAGAGATAGAGATGGGAAGGATGTACAACACATAAGGGTGATTAATGATAGTATAAGCTACTATTTTTCTATGAAGCTTCTTCCGGTTCTTTTAAACCAGGAACTCTCAATGAGACGAAGTAGACTGCTTTAGATTTTATAAAAAATAACCGTGCTGGTTTATTCAGAGGATCACAGGTAAAATTTACATTACACGTCCAGATCTCTCTCACCCTCTACCTGCGCGCAGGCAGCAGAAAAGATCAGAGAGTGAGAAGATGCCTGAGGAATGGAGGAGAAGTGTACTAGTGCCGATCTTTAAGAACAAGGGTGATGTGCAGAGTTGTAGCAACTACAGAGGTATAAAGTTGATGAGCCACACAATGAAGCTATGGGAAGGAGTAGTGGAAGCTAGACTAAGAAAGGAAGTGGATATCTGTGAGCAGCAGTATGGCTTCATGCCCAGAACTGAAGCCATTGCACTACTGGTGCAATTTTTGCTCTGAGAATGTTAATGGAGAAGTATAGAGATGGTTGGAAGGAGCTGCATTGTGTCTTTGTGGATTTAAAGAAAGCTTACGACAGAGTGCCAAGACAGGAGCTATGGTACTGTACGAGGATGTCAGGAGTGGCACAGAAGTACGTCAGAGGAGTTCAGGATATGTATGAGAGGAGTACGACAGTAGTGAGATGTGCTGTAAGTCAGACAGAGGAGTTCAAGGTGGAGGTGGGGCTACATCAAGGATCGGCTTTGAGTCCCTTCTTGTTTGCTATGGTGATGGACAGGTTGACAGATGAGGTCAGACAGGAATCTCCATGGACAACGATGTTTGTGGATGACATTGTGGTCTGTAGTGAGAGCAGAGAGCAGGTGGAGGAACACCTGGAAAGGTGGAGGTCTGCTCTGGAAAGAAGAGGAATGAAAGTCAGTCGTAGTAAGACAGAATACATGTGTATGAACGAGAGGGAGGGAAGTGGAA